TGAATAACAATCTAATGAGGTGTCTTCTTTAGGTTGACATTTTACTTTGACTGCTGCGGCATCCTGATTATCACCATTATGAAGAACAGGGCAGTCTAATTTATTTGACATGAATCCCCGAATCTTCTCTTTTAGATTGACATTAATTCATCCCAATTAAGGCAATAATTTTATTTTACAAACTTTTGTTATTTGAATTGAATCATTAATAACGAAAAGAAGCAAATTGTAAAAATTTATACAAGCTTTTAGCTAGTTTTTTTGTATCACACCATTATAATGTTATGTTTTATGAATACATATTGTTTGGCTTGTTTTGTATCACGCCATTATAATGTTATATTTATGAATACATATTATTTAGCTTGTTTTGTATCACACCATTATAATGTTATATTTATGAATACATATTCTTTATCGTGTTTTGTATCACACCATTATAATGTTATATTTATGAATACATATTCTTTATCGTGTTTTGTATCACACCATTATAATGTTATATTTATGAATACATATTCTTTATCGTGTTTTGTATCACGCCATTATAATGTTATGTTTTATGAATACATATTGTTTGGCTTGTTTTGTATCACGCCATTATAATGTTATATTTATGAATACATATTATTTAGCTTGTTTTGTATCACGCCATTATAATGTTATATTTATGAATACATATTCTTTATCGTGTTTTGTATCACACCATTATAATGTTATATTTATGAATACATATTGTTTAGCTTGTTTTGTATCACACCATTATAATGTTATATTTTATGAATACATATTATTTAGCTTGTTTTGTATCACGCCATTATAATGTTATGTTTTATGAATACATATTGTTTGGCTTGTTTTGTATCACGCCATTATAATGTTATATTTATGAATACATATTATTTAGCTTGTTTTGTATCACGCCATTATAATGTTATATTTATGAATACATATTCTTTATCGTGTTTTGTATCACACCATTATAATGTTATATTTATGAATACATATTGTTTAGCTTGTTTTTGTATCACACCATTATAATGTTATATTTGATATTTTATAAATACGTGTTGTTTAGCTTGTTTTATTTGATATTTTATGAATACACATTGTAATAAACAAAGAAAGGCAGATCCTACAAGACAATGCTGGAATAATTATATAAATAATAGCTAACGACTCAATAATAATATAAAAAAAACGTGTTGAATAGACTAAGAAGGCGCAAACGACTGTCGTTCAATTTGGAATGTTCACGTATTTCACTGAACATGATTGTTTAGAGATTATAATAAAAAAAAATAAACATTGAATAGAAATCATTTTATATACATTCATGTTATAGATGTGTTTTTAGACACATTTTAATCTATTTTAAGGTTAAAAAGAATAGAACCATACGCTAGTTTAGGCAATGCGAAATTGTCAATAATTAATATTCCATAATAATACTTTTTTCGTGCCAAAGACATTCTTATTTCCGACATTCCCGACAAAGAGATATAAGAAAAGAAAAGAACCTCGAGCGGACCCAATCAAAAAGTACAATTTGTTGCATGTTACATATAAATTGTAAGTTTCTATATAATAAAGGACGTGATGATTGTGTCTTTTTCGATTTTATAAAACGAAGAAGCCTAATGAATTTCACCAGTTTGCGTTAACTACCTCTAGAGTTATGGCCCCTGTTTCACTTTGTTGAACCTTGTGAATGCTTTAACCACAGATGTTACCATGCAATTTTTAAATTAGAGACACGTAGAAGGCTGTTGAATTTCAGCAATTTTCGTAAATTAGCTGTAGAGTTATGACCCTTGTTTCACTTTGTTGAACATTGTGAACGCTCGAACGACAAAAGTCATCATCCGATCTGTATGAAATTTATATGCATTATTTAAAGATGCATTGTGGAAGATTCGATAACGAGTTGGCAGTTCTCACTATAATAATTAAAAACTAGATAACGTAAAGGCAATTTCCTGAAAATTTAATTCAAATTGATCCACTATGAACCGAGAACTAAGCAAATGAAATTTCTGCCTAGCCTCGGACATCATTACTAAAGTCAGTACGATAAACCGCATAGTCTCGATTATCTATTTAATCGTTTAATCGAGAAGGAAAGTTATGCAGTAAATCGGCTCACAATCCACTTAAGATCGCAGGCTAGCATGCCATCTAGAGTTGATTATGGTCTGGATAAGTTAATTAATGTCTAATTAATAATTTAGATAACATTTCAGGCCTAAAGAAAGACCTGCAATAGACAGATTTAGCTCTTGCATAATGTATGTTTAACTTAGTAAAACGAAAAAAGCTGTCGAATTTCAACAATTTTTGTATATTTCTTCCAGAGTTAAGGCCCTTGTTTCAGTTTGTAGCACCTTGTGAACCTTCAAAGGACGAAAATTATCATCTGATTTGTATAAAATGGTCTTGTAAATTCCCCCCCCCCCCCATTACCTACAAAAGATTAAATATCTGACAACCCTTGTTGGCCGCCCGGACGATTTACCTGCTGTTGGCGTATGTTTCGTTGCCTGGCAATCTATATTTATACTCCAAATATCCAGTATAGTAATGTGCATTTTTGACCTTGAATTCATAAAATTAAAAAATAAATAAACAAGGTACAGCACCTTTAATGTATTTTCAAAAAGGAAACGAACCGCATGTTGCCAGGTAACCGTAAATACAGACATTATGAACACTAATTATATTTTGACTTTCGTAGGAAATATGCAATTATCGCTTAGATGTATTGTTTAAAAATTGAAACGTAATATATTGTCTTAAATATGCAGCGAAATGTTTGTTAATCAAATGTTGTTTTGTTTTTAATGTCTAATAGCTTAAAATAAAAACCATTTTCGGTAAATAAATTAAAAACGTTTTTTGTTCTCTAAGTAATTAGATAATTAACTGAATAAGTCTGCAATCAAATACAACATATCTTTATACAATTAGAAAAAAAACCCGAGGTCCCGTGTTCACATTGGCGTGCACGTAAAAGAATCCATGACATTTGAAATTCGGTATAACAGTCATTCACGAAATCCCCTGTGGTCTCATTCGGTTCCACTCCACTGTACCCGGGATTAATCCACAGGTTTCCACGATTTCAAATTATCTACTCTGATCTTGATTGAGTGTACGAACCAATCAAAAAACAGTTTACAAACCAGTCTTACTTCAGAAACAACCTTCGTTTCGCGTTCGTTTTTGTAAGGGTAGATAACCCTATTCTCGTCCATTTACTAAATGATCTATATAAATAAATAAAGTACATATTTCTAATTCATTTTTATTTGTTTTATAATATCAAAATCGGTAGTATGTTTTGCTGATTTAAATTATGTATAACATGTAACTGTTTTACTTTTGTTATAATTATTACTATCCCTTTTTTTTTGTCTGAACTGTTTCCCAACCCGTTACCATGCTGTTATGTTTATTATTATTGAAAGTGGACGTAAAACTCTTTGTCTGCGATATCACTTCGGTGGAAGTGGATGTAAAATACAACTAACTAACAACAACGTAAAACTCTAGGAACAAACGAAACGATTGCACTTTGTCTACGTAAGTCAAACTATTGAACCGACGAAGATTCTCTCGCTTATCTGGTCTTTACTGACATAAAAATAAAATAGTGTAATTTGTTGTTAATAAATACGTATTTAGTGTAATTTGGCCTACGCACATGTTTTGTTTGAGGAGATTTAGCCTACATGCTAAATTCTGGCTATTTCCTAACCTTGTCTCTCGAAGGAAAGCCTTTGCGCTTTGGCTTTTGCTTGTTTTACCCGATGAGAATTACTTCCCTTCGCCAACTTCCTTTGTCATTAACGATTTATGGGATTGGTCGATAAAAATAGCACAATCATCGAGGGCAGATAACTTGAATACGCCCCCCCCCCCCCTGTCACCGTATAGATTTAACCCAGGGGTTAGTGGAGCGGAACAGAATGCGATCACTGGGGATACCGAGGATGCATATAAGTAGGCCTTAGCACCGAGTCGGAACAGAAAAGCAGGACTTGATTCCGGGCAAGGGACAACGTACAACGTAATGTTATTCGGATGGGACGAAAGCCGAATTTAAGTAGCGTGTACACAGTGACATGCACGTAAAAGAACCCTTGGCTGTAGGAATTCGGCATAAGAGTAGGTCGTAGCTCCACTGTCCGGGCAACATTTCCCTCATAGCAGTAAGGACTACCTCGTCAACGCCAATAAACCAGTCAACACCATACTTGCTTGACAAATGGCCGCCAATATGAAACATACTTGAATGATAATTTTTATAGGGGTGGGGTCTCTTTAAAACATATTTGAAAGATAATTTGAATGATAATTTTAATGGGGGTGGGGTCTCTTTAAGACATATTTGAATGATATGGGGTGGGTTCTCTTTAAAACATATTTGAATGAAAAATGCTTCACCTATCCTGGTGAAATTCTTCAAAATAGTTCGTGCAGGACGAAGGACCTCGCAAGGACAGCTGTCTAGTCGTTCGGATGGGACTGAAAACCGAGCTCCCGTGTATACATTGGCGTGCACGTAAAAGATCCCTTGGCAGTTGGAATTCGATATAAGAGTAGGCCATAGTGCTGCTGCCCGGGCAAAATTTTCCTCATAGCACACTGTATATATGGCGTATGCCAGTCTTCATTAGGACATTAAACCCCATTTCATTTCATATCATTTCAAAATAGTTCTATTGTCAAACTGATAACGAAAGCCACGCACGAGCGATTACATCATAAGTGATTTTCAAATAAGCACATCCAATTGTTATACTTTGCTAGAGTAATATTCACGATAAACTCGCTCAAACTCAATACATGACTGGATAACAACGTCTGTAAGTAGAGCAATAGTGATGTTTTTATATACATATATATATAATAATAGTAAGTGTGACTGGGTAATTGTGTCTATGTAGACTGTGTTATATAGGGTTTGTATCAGTGGTGAGGTATAAGAGTGAAAGATAGAGGTATACGATTAGTTTGTAATGTTTACACACGAGACGTTTGTGGTGAATAAATCGACTGTTTGATACACCTCGTGTTCGTTTAACCGTGATATAAGCCAGACTTTTTTATATATGTGATAATAACTTTTGGATATTTAACACTGTTTAATATTGATTATTCATATACCCCGAGTTTATCGTTTAAACGCCACAAACTTCTGTGATAATATTTGGATATTTAACAAGTGTTTTAAAATGTCTTTTAGAACCAAAGCTGGTATGTGTGTGTTAGTTTTAACACTCTGTGTGTATTTACTACAGCCCGGGTGTTTAAAGAATAATATATTAGGCTGTACTTTATCGGCTTTAGTATTTTACACACTCATGTTAGCAACTTCAGGGTTTTTAATATTCAAAAGTCCACCCCAAGAATTCGTCGATTCGAATGGAAAGGCCGTCTTTATTACAGGTAAGAAACTATTTGTTATAATTTGAAAGAACCAAACAACTTGTATTTCCTCCATAACAAATTATCCATTAATCAATTAATCAATTTGTGTTAATTTTCAGGTAAATTGAATGTTATTAGCATTAAACTTTGTAATCCTTAATTAAATTAGATTATCTTTAGGTCGGCTACATGCAATTAAGGGATATCTATAAGTATTGTTGTGTACATGTATATATTGTCTTGTCATAATTTCATAGTTTATCATTGCTTGATAATGACTAGAGAAGCCTAGTCGAAACGTCGCTCAGTAGTAAGCAGTAATTTTATTCCATAGAACTGTCACCTGTATATTCCAGTTCAATTACTAAATGCCATTGAAACAATTTGTTAAGACTGGGATAATCGGCTAAAGTACTCCCTTATACACAGAGATTATGAACTGACATCTTATTAAAACGTTATATTTTGTATTTCTGGATAATTAATTGCGTTTACCGTCTTCATTAGCCCAGTTTAGGAGCAGAACAGTAGGACGTTAAACCCCATTTCATTTTAATTACGTTTATTGTTGATGATTTAGATATCGATTTAGGGATTTTGTTTGCAACAGATTGTGAATATTCTTGGTTTCTAACTCTAAGCCATAACCACCTTGCCTTGGATATTTTATTTATCCCCCTTTCTCTCCCCCTCTCCCCCACTCCCTCTTCCCACCTCTCTCCATCTGTGCGTCTTCATTAGCCCAGTTGATGCAGAAAAGTAGGACGTTAAACCCCATTTAATTTCATTTCATTTCTCCCCTCTCTCTCTCCACCTCTCGCTTAGGCTCTTCTCTCCATCTTTCTCCCCCTAAACTCCCCCACCTCTCTCCTTTAACTACCCTCTGATCTCCCCATCTTCCCCCCTCCTCGCGTCGTGTCAACTCTCCCAATCTCTCCCCTCAAACCCCCCCCCCCCCACCTATCTACTGTGAGACTGGACATGCACCGCTAACCAAGTGGATTGCGTATAAACGAACTGCTTGCATCAAACTTAACTCAATCACCTGACATTCTGCCAACATTTACTGTAACATAAAACTTTTCTTTTTCTCTGTTTATCGTTTACATAATTAAATGGGTGAAGTAGACTCTCTCTCTCTCTCTCTCTCTCTCTCTCTCCCCTCCCTGACCAACCTTGTGGGTTTTCTCCGGATCCTCCGGTTTCCACCCACTGCTAAAAAAAACCCTACGCGCAAGCGCATTATTAAAATAAAATTGAACCATTTGTTAGTACCGAAATAACCTAGTTTGTGTCGAGTGGACGTTAACCCCCCCCCCTCTTTCTCCCCCTCTCTCTCTCTCAAACACACCCGACCCGGTTGTGTATTTTTGCTATTAAAAAGATACACTATATCATAATGGGACCTGAATACAGGCCGAAGCTTATATAAATTCATCTCACGTAACAAATCATTTACAAAAATATAAATACGTTGTTTTTTTTATTGTAACATGGGGTGAAATAAAATTAAATCATATGTTAGTCCCGAAATGACCTAGTCTGTGTCGAGTGAACGTTAAACCCCATTTCTCTCTCTCTCTTTACTGTAACATATGACATTTTTTGACATTACATTGGACTGTCAAATTGTTACTGAAGTCTACTGTTATGGAATGAGTAATTGTGGCCCCCTAAGGCGTTCAATATAAAGAACATTTGGATAGTACACAGACCCATAACTTAGGATTGGATATAAAATGTTAAAATTTCCACTCAAATTGATAGCTTTGTTAAAGCGATAATTTCATATTTTTAAGTTATATTTTTAAAATCTATTAAAATAAAACCTTAAAATAGATGGTATCTATAAAAAGTCCTACCTTGCTAAAGAATAATCCTATTAATTCTATAATTCACTATTGCCAGTTGAGAAATTGGCAAAAATATCATTTTCATCTTCAAATTCAAACGTTTGAAGATAGAATAAAAAAACAAGGGAGGTAATTGTGTTATTATTTCCGGGGTGAGTGATTTTTAAGTGTGGTGAGAATGATACCTATGGTCGTATAATAGTGAGTTGACAACCTATTGAGCAAAAGATATAGAAATAATTATGTTTTAACTTTCTTAGAAAATATGAAATTCTCGCTTTAACAAGAAGAAAAAAAAGACAGTCATCCCCGGCCACCATTGTTTGATATAGACTACAGATGCCTAGTCAAAACATAGCTCATACCGTGCTTGTGTTCCATTAAATTGTGACCTGTGTATTCCAGAAGAAATTACCAAATGTCATTGAAACAATCCATCTCACGCCCTTACATACCAAGAAAAAAGTTAAAGAATGAATCCGCGAAATTTCTAATGGACAACTACTATAATATGTTGATAAGAGTAAACGGGTGCAGAATGATACCCTGAAACACATACTCCTCGCAGTGTTTCGTTTGATTATACCTAATCCCACTTAACACTGCTGTAAAGAAAGCATATTTTTGTTCCGATAAACAACCAATAGCTAACTGCATAACAATATCATTACGCTTTAAACAGAGCTCCAAATTAGACCAACTATATTTACATAAAGTTACGTTAGTTACGTCATACGCACGATTTTATTATGCCCAATTAACCAGTGCCTTGCAGAATATTGCAGAAAAACTAATTGCGTGACCAACGAGGCTATCAAAACGGATACAAGGTAAACAATGCTGTTTGGAGACGAACAATACTTTCACCGTTTTTAATACCTTAAATAAACGAAGGTTGTCATGTTGCTGTTCTTAGATAGATTTGATTGAACGGGAAGAATAGACACACTCTGTCAAAAGCTCAAGTATCCGAAGCCAATCCAGCAATGGCCAGAGTTGATCTCTCGGGCCATTTCTGCAGGAATATGCCTGAAACAAGGCCTGATCGGAATGATGGATGGCGCCCATTTCACACTCTCCCCATTCCACACTCGCCCCTCTACTCGGTTGTATTTAGGTTAGGCCTATCTATATATACACAATTTATGATTCGAATGGACGCTAAACCACACTTCTATCTCCCTAAGTTTGTGGTCAGTTGTTTTTGTGTTTTATTTTGTAAAACATTCCAAAACCCCAAAAAGTAAACATGCCTGCCATTAACCTGTGACCTGACCCATTGATAAATTTGTTGAGATAGCGATAAATAAAATCTTGTTAATAAGAGAATCATTGGACCTTGATATCCTGGTTGACTGGAGTGGTGTTGAGTTCCCAATCTTTTGAACTGGTGTAACGTGAGACTGGATAATCTGTTCTAATACGTCAGACTCAAGCATACGTCACTATTCGTTCGATTGGGACGAAAACCGGACGTACACGTCGGCGCTCACGCACATGTAATAGAACCCTATTCTGAACACAAAAATGAAATATATAGCAAGTGCAGGAGGAGATCAAAATACACAAACAGAACCGCCAAGACAAACCTGCGGACGACACTGAAATTGCAAGCAATGAACAACAAACATACATATCCCACCATGTGGATGGATCCGGACCAGTCGTAATCGTTCACTGCGCTGAACGTTAGACTTTGTGGCTTGTGTTTAGAAAAATACTCAAGTCAGAATCAAAACCTAGAAAGCTCTTTAGATTTTCCAGCTGGTTTCGTCTTTTCAGTGGTGTAGGACAGAATAGCGCCTAGTTGTTCGAATGGGACGAAAACCCGAGGTACACTTTGGCGTTCAGTTAACTAGCACTTGGTAGAATTCAGTGAGGAGTTGGCACAATGCATCGTGCGGGGTTGGATGGCCGAATGGTTGTTATTGAGTCAACTGGCGTGGTTTCGATTCCCATGTTGTACGTGACAAGACGTAGGGTCGCCTGTCCAACCCCGTGGGTTTTCCCCAGGTCCTCCGGTTTCCTCCCACTGCTAAAGACCCCTATAGGCGCAAGCGAATTACTGAAATAAAATTGAACTATATGTTAGTCCCGAAATGACCTAGTTTGAGTCAGGTTGACGTCTCTCTCTATCCCCCTCTCTCTCTCTCTCTCCCTCTCTCTCTCTCTCTCTCTCTCTCTCTCTCCGCATCATGTGTCTGTCTGCATGGTACAATAAATTAGAACATTAAACCCAATTTGATATAAATCTCTTACAACCCACACCTTCATGGCTGTATGTTTTCACTCCCCAGTAAAATGTTTAAAACCCAGTGAAGTGTGGCGACCTGAATATATTATAATAGAACTATTGGTACAGTTTATTCCGTAACACTTACAAAACACTCCGATGTCAAGGTCAAAACTATTTCCTTTTATAACATGATTCAATGGCGTTCAGGAGCCACGGTGGCTAGCCTGGAGCTCGCGGGTTCGATCCCAAGACAGTTCATCATGGTTTTCCTTTGTCATTGGTGGAAACGAAATGAAATGAAATGAAATGGGGTTTAACGTCCTACTGTTCTGCACCTATACTGGGCTAATGAAGACGGGCATACGCCACACAGTGTGCTATGAGGGAAATTTTGCCCGGACAGCGGCACTATCGCCTACTCTTATATCGAATTCCAACTGCCAAGGGATCTTTTACGTGCATTCCAATGTATACACGGGACCTCGGTTTTTCGTCTCATCCGAAGGACTAGACAGCTGTCCTTGTCAGGCCCTCCGCTCTGCACCACTGACAAGGGGAAACCACGTCGGAAAATCCGGATGAACTTTCTCGGCCAATGCAGGGATCGAACACCCGACCTCCAGGCTAGCGAGCCAGCGTCTTAACCACCTCATAGCACACCGTATAACGTATGCCCGTCTTCATTCGCCCATCTGAGGCAGAACAGTAGGACGTTAAACCTCATTTCATTTCATTTCAATGGCGTTCATCGTTTAATCCAGGACCATGAGATGCAAGACAAGGAAATGTGTTTCTGGCCGTGTGTGGTGTGTGTGTGTGTGTGTGTGGGGGGGGGGGGGGGGTCATTGAGAGTCAACTGGCATGGTTTCGATTTCCCGCTCGTATGTGACAAGGAGTAGGGTCGCCTGTCCAACCGCTTTAGGTTTTTG